GTTTACAATGACTGGGGATATCAACATGGGAGGTAATAAGATAACTAATCTTGATAATCCTACTAACCCAGGTGATGCTGCTAGTAAGAGCTGGGTTGAGGGCAGCCGTGGTAGTTTACCCGGACTTGTTCTTACAGGTGATCTTAATATGTCTACCAATGAAGTAAAAGCTCTGGGAGATCCTACAACTGGAAAGTCTGCTGTTAGTAAAGACTGGGTAGTTGGAATGCTAAATAAACCTGTATCAGGACTTAATATTGCTGGGGATATTAATATGAAGGACCATGAAATTAAAAACTTAGCTGACCCCACTGAGGACCAGTCCGCTGTCACAAAAAAGTGGGCTGCTGACAATAACTTTGTTAAAAAAGGTGGAATAATGCAAGGAGATGTGTCCATGGGAGGCTAGAGATTGTTTGATCTTATTAACCCTAAACTTAGTAGTGAAGCTGTATCTAAAGGTTGGGTTGAGAATAAGCTGTCTACAATTCCTGACACCTCTGGTTTTACAATGTCAGGTGATCTTCAAATGGGTGGACATGAAATTAAAAATGTTGGTGATCCTAGTTCGAGTACATCTGCTGTTAGTAAAAGGTGGGTTACATCAGGATTCACTCTAAATGGTGATCTAACCATTGCAAATGGTAATTCAATCTATACGACCAACAACCTTGGTGCAAAAATAGCTATTCCCAATATTCAAACTGTGGTCAACCAAATTTCACGCTTTGCCTTGAAATTGGACGGTTCAAATGAAATGACTGGTGTTCTCAAGATGGGTGGAAATGAAATTGAAAATATTGGGGCTCCTAGTGCTGATACATCTGCTGTTTCCAAAAAATGGGTGGAAGATGAGATTAGCGGTGGTCGTAAAGGGCGTGAAACTTATAGTGGACTTACCCTGTCCGATGACCTTGATATGGGAAACAATGAGATTATAAAGTTAGGTGCTCCTACAACTGATAATTCTGCTGTTTCCAAGAAGTGGGTCACTGATCATGTTAGTGGAAGTTCTATTAATAGTAGTGGATTTACTATGACAGGAGATATTGATATGGGTGGCTATAAGATTGAAAATGTTGCCGATCCCATAACTCCTCAGTCCGCTGTTACCAAAAGCTGGTTCAATCTAAATGAAGGTACGTTCTTAAGGTTAGATGGAACAGGATCAATGAATGTTGGTGGTACTGTAAATTTCAGCAATGCCCCCACATGTAACTCAGACCCTAATATTCCAAATAGTCTTGTGCGCCTGCAGTATCTTAAGAATTATACAAATAACCTACTCAAACTTAGCGGTTCGAGAGCAATGATAGGTAGCCTTCGAATGGGCGGACATGAAATAATAAATATTGGTGCTCCTACAACTGATAATTCTGCCGTGTCTAAGAAATGGGTCACGGATCATGTCAGTGGAAGTTCTGCAAGTAGCAGTGGCTTTACTATGAGCGGTAATATTGACATGGCTGGTAATACTATTACGGGGCTAAATAGTGGGTCAACAGGAAGTTCTAGTGCTGTTTCTTACGGTTCCATGACTTCATGGTGCTCACAGTTTCTTAAACGTGATGGTGGCACTTTAGCTAGTAACTTAGATGTTAACAATTATGAGTTGACAAGAGTTGGAAGTCCAACGACTGACGGTTCAGCTGTTAATAAGAGGTGGGCAATAGATGAGTTCATGAGTAGTAGAGGTGGGTTGGTAAAGGGTGATTTGGATATGGGAGACTCAAGTGGAATTCTTGATCTAAAGGATCCTGTAAATGATAAGGATGCTGTTAACAAACAGTGGGTAGAAAAGAATTTCCTAAAACCTTCAACTGGTCTTACTCAAGCAACGGCTGACTTAAGATATGTAAGAATACGGCGACATATACATGCAGAATGGATTTGGGGTTATCGTGGTGTTTCAGTTGCAGCAACAAGGTACTACGCTTACTGTCACGATCAGATTCCACCTTCATGGAGAACAGATCCTATTAACAATATGGCAGACCTGAACCTTGAATCAATTACTATCAAATCAGATTTCCCACGTTTTTCAACTATTCAAAATATACCTATAGGACTCGTTCTATGGGCTACCATTTGGGAAAAGCAATCTAATGGAAAATTTGCTAAGGTTAAGAAGGAGATTGTTCTTGCCACGGTTGACTTGTGAAGACTGTCACACACCTGGTTTAATGGAACTTACACAACTACCGGTGGAAGTACAGCTTGCTACGTTTTCAAGGGTAATAGTATGTTCTATTTAGGAGCCCAGGCTGAGTTGGTAGATAACACGCTAGCCTGGTGCATTATAGTTAAACCTGAACACTCAATGCCTACTGGGTCTAGCATGGATATGTCCTTTTGCTGGTCACTTCGATATTCAGGGTCTGGTAGTTAACATGTGGTTTATCATAAGATAAGATGTCAAGGTGGAGGTCATGCTTCTCCTGCTTGGGTAAGATTTGTGGTTGTCGTAAGAGTTCTAGTAGAACTGGGAAGGCTGGTGATATAAATTTCTCTGTATCAAATAATATTAACATTGGAGTGAGCACACAGAATAAAAAGGATGATTTAGACTTTGGACCAAAATCAGAAAGTTACGGTCACCTAAAAATGCTTGAGGAAAAATCAGATGTTAAATAGAGAATTTAATAGGAATAAAATAGATGATATAAAAGTGGTCTAGAAAAATGATGGTTAAAAAGATCAGATAAAATGGTCTAGAAAAATGAGGGTAAAAAAGAGCAAGAAAAAATGGTCTAGAAAAATATGAGCCCGCGTTTCTGAGGGAAAAATATGGAAACCGCTGACCGGAAGTTGGGTGAGATCGCGGGCCGAAAAAGTGGTCTAGAACCCTCATTCCCTATACTACTTACCCAACGTCCCAATAATTTTTCATACAATTAATATTAATATCCTTCGATTTATATTGTTTGATTTCGCATTCCAAATCTGATAAACATTGATAATTCTCTCTTCGCGTATGTCCACGCGTAATTCTCGCAAAAAACACGCATTAATTGTGTCGGCAGCATTGATGATCGCGGCAGCCAATCAAATAACGATTTCGATTCGATTTCCCCAGAGTCATGCCACTACCTAACCCGCGAACAGGCATACTCTGGGAACGAGATTGGCAGGTAGGCAGGCAGGCAGGCAGGCAGGCAGGCAGGCAGGCAGGCAGGCAGGCAGGCAGGCAGGTAGGTAGGTAGGTAGGTAGGTAGGTAGGTAGGTAGGTAGGTAGGTAGGTAGGTAGGTAGGTAGGTAGGTAGTCATATCAATGATCCTTTTTGTAACATTTGGAGTTACAAAAAGGAGCACCTAGGTTACAAAAAGGAGCAACCTGGGATAAATCTTCATTTTAGCAAGGGTTATCAACGAAATAATAGAAGTTTTATTGTTTTTACGATAAAATGTGTCAACGTTGTGAACAAAGTAAAGTTTCGGAGCATTTCTAACTGAAATTACCTACATTTCTCAAACTCAGGAGAATCGATCATGTACGCGATCGTATGTACGGCAATATACTTTTTACTTTAAAATAAGTAAATTAAATAATCATGTATGTATGTTATGTAATTATGTTATAACGTGTGTTATCATTTGTTATATGGTAGACAGTAAGATATTTCCATATCGTCATGGTCAATTTATATCTTCACGAGTGAAGATATCAATCATATGACCATCCACAATTTGAAGGTTTATCATGTTATTTCCATATAATACAAAGAACATTACATGCACACGGTGGCTTAAAGATATGAATTTTATCTTCTCGTGGTGACAACAATATTTTACTCATTTGTCTCACTCATATCTCTTGATATAAAATTCATATCTTCATGCTGTCATGTAATACCCTCTATAATATATGCCTGATTATATTACATGAATACATGAACAAAATGAGGAGTTTAGCTCCTGACCTCTGTATACACGTATCGGTGCAGTAAAATCAAACTCGAGTACAACCACATAACCTTACATTGGTATACAGAGGGCAGGAGCTAAACTTCATACATACATTCACATTTTTAGAAAAATATTATAAACAAATACACAGAATGAAAAAGGCATCCACATATATTATATTAAGGTCTTGTAATAAAATTTAACAAAACAACTGTAAACTACTTTGATATTGAGAAAAAAGTATTTAAAAGTGTCCAATACTATTATTAAACTACTTTGATATTGAAGCTTAAGTAAAGTCTACTAAACATGCAGATATTAAAAGTGTCCAATACTATTCGTACAGTATCTGATGTACAAATGCAGGTGTATAACAAGAAGTTATCTCCTTGTTTCATGTACAGTATTGTACATGGAAATGTTTAGTTGATAACTTCTAGTTATAACCTGCATTTGTACATACTAGTAAGTATATTAATTTTATAATAGTATTTAAATTACTGGCAGCACCTTTTACATTTATCTTTGATATTATGTTGCCTGCCCAGTGCAAAATACATTGCACCAATGTACATACAATATATTAATGGTATGTTTCAGTGTTTATAATCCCAGAAGTGCCAGGTCAAAAATAATGTTACATTGTAAGTACATGTACGTTCCTGACCCAGGCTGAGCATTAACAAAATGTGCAATAAAACAAGATAATTTTAACACTTACAAATTTACATACTTGATGTTACAATAATACAGCGGTTGATTTTACAACATAATGCAGCAGATAGCTTGATTAGATAACAAAGTGGACAGCTGTTACAAATCAAGCACTGTATCTGGCTCTATTAATCTACCCATCTGCTGTGTTATTTTGAAACATCAAGCTATCTGTTGTACTGTCTTTCAAAATCAAGCTACATCCATCTAGTCTCTTGTGAAATGAAGCTTTAAGCTGTATTATGTTGTAAAATCAAGCTATCAGCTGTATAACCGTGTATCTTGCAAAAACAAACTATAAGCTGTATTGTAAATCATGTATTACAGTGTAAGAAAATCATACTGTACATACAAGTTGCAGTATAATAAACTGTTTAAAGCTATTTTCTAGCTCTCTTTCTTTTATCATTTCCTCTTGCTATAATTCTTCCTCTTCTTCTTCTCTCTGTGCGGACTTTGTTTGCTAGTTGACGGAAAGCGCACTGCTTTTCAAGATGGGATAATTTTGGTTCAGCACGTAATTTATCATATACAACTGCCTTGGTGATTTGCCTGGTTGAGTTAATTAGTTCATCAAACACAGTTAGGAATAGGACGCTGTCCTCATTGCTTAAAAGCTGCTGGGAACTTTTTGTCGATGTGGTGGGTGCGATAATGCTAGGCGTATACTCACTGCCATCTTTAATCCCACTACCATCTTCGTCCTCACTACCAACTTCATCCTCACTACCACATCCATTTTCTTTCTGCTTCTCTTTTTCTCCACCACTTCTTTTGACTGTAGTACCTAAAAAATTGCAGAAATTATTACTACTATACATTTTATACACAATTACACAGCTTAAGGGGAATTGCTGACCTACTGTACAGTCTACAGTTTCTATACACTGGTACATACATGTGTATATGTACTTAATTACACCATTTAATAATAAGTAATCAAAACATTCCCAGGATAAAATATTCCAGATATCAGGAATATTCGTAAATAAACAGTCCGGGATGCTAGAGGGCACACAACCTCTCGCCTTTGGTTCGATTTGTATATCGATACAACATGGCCGCTCATGCTGTATATTAATACATAGGGAATATGCTAAGTTTATTGGGTTATATAATATAATATTAATCAATGTTTGAGTAACTTTTTATGAGCCCTAAAATTGTCTGGCATAACCAGAGTAAAATCTGTAAAGCCCTGTTGGAGTATGTAAAACTCTGTAACGTAAACCCAGCAATGAGTTTTCCTGTTGATGAGTAAAAGTCATCTGGTGTTTCCTAGAGTAAAATATGTAAAGTCCAGTTGGGTGTTAACAACCGCTTTCGGGGTGAGTCAAAATAACCAAGAGTAGTAAAATTGTCTTGCTTTTTTATGCCAAAATGCTTCAAAATATAGAATGTATTTATTATATACATTAGTGCATCTTTTAAGGATTCTTCAGTGGTGGGGCAAAACTGTCAAAGGGTCCATTTTCCTTGTCCTTCCCCCAGGATAGTATGCGATCGCCGAAGGTGTGAGCCGCGAGTACCGCAGGCTTGAGTTAGCTAGGGGGTCTGAGGGCATGCCCCCCAGGAAATTTTTAAAACTTGGGTCTCTGAAATAGCATTTCCTGCATTCTGAGAACACATTTTTAAAAAAACCTCAGCTTCTCAAAACAAAGTTTTAAATATACTCACCAACAAATTTTGTTTTTTACAATACTCAATACAAGTCATAGGGCCCTGGCTTTGGGGCAATAGGCCATTTTTTTCTTCAGTGGTGGGGCAGAGGAAGGGGCCCAGTGGGGCAAATGCCCCAACACTCCATGGTATTAAAAAATGCCTTGATATACATGACAAAGTTACTGCAATCTGATGAGGAGTGCAATGGGCTTTCTGCCCAAACCATGATGTTAAAATGAAAAAATTATCCATTATCAGATTGCAGTAATTTTGTCATGTATATAACAAATAATCACATGGGCAAGTCATGCAATTAATGATTATCACTCGCAGTGTTACCAAAAATCACTCGCTGTGTAAATCATTAATTGCACTCATTCCTGTGTGATTACCTATACTAATTACTTTTACTAAATAAGTGTTTATCAATTTACCAATACTTACTAGTTTCTGCTTCAATTAAGTCCACACCAAATCTTCTGAAACATTCGCTTTGAGATTCAGTCTCGTTAGGAAGTATTGGCGAATTACACTTGGGTTCTTCCAATGTTGTAGTATCATAATAGGATCGAATTTTGTCTCTTATCTTTGTCGGGGAAATGTTGAACAGCAGTGGTTGCTTGACAATTTTTTGTCTAACTTTGTCTAACGTAATTGTCTTCTGTTTGATATCTGAAGCAAACAGACTCTTCAACACGCTGACTTCCTCAGTGGTCCACTTGTGTCTGGGTGGTGATTTGTGTGTTGTTGGGAGACTTGATGATTCAGAGACTTGATGGTTCCCACAGAGACTTGATGGTCCCCCCTCCTTTTGGCTACTAGATGTGGTTCGCATTATTTTAGTCAATTCTTTTGCCGTTTGTACAGCTGTTTTGCCTTTATTTTTTAGCAAATAGTAACGGTCGGCTGTGGCTTTATTGTGTACCATTAAGTTTGCTAAATCTTCTCGCAAATCCTTATTAGTCCCATGCACAGCTGAGACTGCTGCTTTCCTGAATGCAGTGGCACCCCCAGAAGACGATTCTTTCCCAAAGACTTTCCCCCAACAAGAACCTATTTGGGTACCAACTTGAGAAGATTTCATTTTGGATTTGCTCCAGGCCAAGAACACAGGTGCCTTCCCATCCTTATCAACACCACCAAGTTTATTTCTAAACTGTCTGATGTAGATTTGTACATACTTGTACAATGTGTGAGAAAACACAAGATGTACAGGGCCATGGGTGGTAAATGTTTTATGGTTTTTGACTTTGGCCACAAAACAACCATCATCTTCTTCAACATTTTTGAACTCGTCCAGAGTCATGTTGGCCAATGTGCCAGACCTGCTACCATTATTAATGCATAAGACTGTCAAAAGATAGTCTCTGACAACAATGTAATCGGGTTGGTTTGGTGGTAATTCTCCTTCGTAATCATCATATTCACCCATGATTTTTATTGCTGATCTTGCAACAATTGATGTCTCAAACTCTTTCACTTGTTGGGGTGTTCTCATTGTCGCCATGTCATCCATCCTCTTCTCCCAAAACCGATCTTGACTAAGCTTCCTGTATGACCTGGCCCATAATTTAGCTTGATCTGATAAGCTGGATAAAGTTGCCGGTGAAACATCAACTTCGACACCCTCACACTTTAAAAAAACATAGAACAGGTTAAGAGCACCAAGATAGGATTTCACAGTTCCAGGTTGCTTTTCCTTATCAAAAATGTTTAGCCATTTATCCCTCAAAATCTTCTTTTTGAATATGCTGCTCAAATTTGGATTTTTTGAGTCAATGAAATTGATGACTAGCTGGACTTGTCTGCGGCACTGGCTTGCGCATCTTTCATCTTTTCTACCTCCATCTGGCCCTTTCAACCATTCTTCGAATTGCACAAATAACTGTGGAAGATTATTATCTAAATGATCAGCACCCTGAATATATTGTTGATCATTTTCAATTAAATCTCCATCGATCACGTCCTCCTCAATATCTTCTCGATCATCTTCATCTTTGGAAGGAGATGGATCATCTCGGTTGCAATCATAACTTTCATCACTATCATCACTGCCATACACAGACTGAAATATAGTGCCAAGATTCTTCACATAATTTTCCTCTTTAAACTTTTTTGGTGGTGGGTGGTACGAGTCTGATGAGTCATCGCCATCTTCAGTGGGTTTAGATGGTGATAAAACTGGAGCCTCATATGGAACTGCATTCTCTAAACATTTCAGGTACGTTTTGCTTCCTGGTTTTACTTTATGCACCTTTCTGATATGGTTATGGATCCGTTTGACAATGGAATTACAATCTCTCACCGGGCACATCTTGCTCTTGTAATGACGTTTAGGCCTTGCCGTTGTTTGCATTTTATTTTTCCGTAAATTAAAAGCGTTCAACACGCTACCTGACTTCCTTGGACTCCAACCATGACACTTCCTCATGTGACGTGGGAGATGGATAACTGAAGATTTGCAATTAGATACTGGGCAAATATGTTTTGCTCTTATTTTTCCCTTTGGCTTTACATCTTTTTTTGCAGGTTGCTCGGTAACAACCACTGGATCATCAACACTTGCATCATTATTTTCAGCAACTGGTAAAACCTGCAAACCTTCCATACCACACACCTAAAAAACAATAATCGTAATGTAAGATTTATCAAGAACATACAAGTACAGCAAATTCGTATTGCAGACAGTGTAAATTACTTTGAACTACAGTAATTACTAATTAAAAGAATTACTAATTAAAAGAAATACTATTAAGAAATACTATTAAAATACATGATCATTTATGAGAACAGATTTATTACATGAGAACATACTGTACACACACAATTACATGATAATAACATACCATATTTGCTGAATTTTATGTTCAAAAGAGGCACTTAATCAAGGCATGCCAATTTGAACAAGTACAGTATGGTAGAGTACATAGTTACATTGTTACACAATAATTATAATCAAATACAGTAACATGCTTACATGACTATATGAAAACATCTGATCCTAATACTCATCCTTATTGGTATTCTTGATATAATGATCATCCCAATTAGTATTTTTATATAAAGAATACTAATAAGAAGGCATTAATTGTATTTGTGTGTGAAGCCATTTGAAACACTCACAGTCGTGTTTTAAATAGTACATAATAACATCCTTACATGGCAACATAATAGCATGATAACACACTTACTATACATGATTACCTAATATAACACACTTACATGACTGCATAATAACATGATAACAGACTAACATGACTACATAATAACATGATAACACACTTATGTGACTACATAATAACATGCTAACACACTAACAGGACTACATAATAACATGATAACACACTTACATGACTACATAATATGATAACACACTCACATGACTACATAATAACATGATAACACACTTACTATACATGACTACTTAACAATATGATAACACATTTACAGGATTAAGGTACCTAATAATATGATAACACACTTACTATACATGACTACATAATAACATAATAACATGATAACACACTAACAGGACTACATAATAACATGATAACACACTAACATGACTACATAATAACATGACTACATAATAACATGATAACACACTAACAGGACTACATAATAACATGATAACACACTTACTATACATGACTACCTAATAATATGATAACACACTTACAGGACTACCGTACCTAGTATGATAACACACTTACATGACTACGGTACCTAATAATATGATAACACACTTACTATACATGACTACATAATAATATGATAACACACTTACAACACTACATAATAATATGATCTAACATACTTACAGGACTACATAATAATATAACACACTTACATGACTACATAATAATATGATGACACACTTACTATACATGACTACATAATAACATGTTAACACACTAACAGGACTACATAATAACATGATAACACACTAACATGACTACATAATAACATGACTACATAATAACATGATAACACACTAACAGGACTACATAATAACATGATAACACACTTACTATACATGACTACCTAATAATATGATAACACACTTACAGGACTACCGTACCTAGTATGATAACACACTTACATGACTACGGTACCTAATAATATGATAACACACTTACTATACATGACTACATAATAATATGATAACACACTTACAACACTACATAATAATATGATCTAACATACTTACAGGACTACATAATAATATAACACACTTACATGACTACATAATAATATGATGACACACTTACTATACATGACTACATAATAACATGTTAACACACTAACAGGACTACATAATAACATGATAACACACTAACATGACTACATAATAACATGACTACATAATAACATGATAACACACTAACAGGACTACATAATAACATGATAACACACTTACTATACATGACTACATAATAATATGATAACACACTTACAACACTACATAATAATATGATAACACACTTACTATACATGACTACTTAATAATATGATAACACACTTACAGGACTACGGTACCTAATAATATGATAACACACTTACTATACATGACTACATAATAATATGATAACACACTTACTATACATGACTACTTAATAATATGATAACACACTTACAGGACTACCTAATAATATGATAACACACTTACAGGACTACCGTACCTAGTATGATAACACACTTACATGACTACGGTACCTAATAATATGATAACACACTTACTATACATGACTACATAATAATATGATAACACACTTACAACACTACATAATAATATGATCTAACATACTTACAGGACTACATAATATAAATATAACACACTTACATGACTACATAATAATATGATGACACACTTACAACACTACATAATAATATGATAACATACTTACAGGACTACATAATAATATAACACACTTACATGACTACATAATAATATGATAACACACTTACATGACTACATAATAATATAACATACTTACAGGACTACATAATAATATAACACACTTACAGGACTACATAATAATATGATAACACACTTACATGACTACATAATAATATGATAACATACTGACAGGACTACATAATAATATAACACACTTACAGGACTACATAATAATATGATAACACACTTACAGGACTACCTAATAATATGATAACACACTTATAGAGGACTACATAATAATATGATAACACACTTACAGGACTACCTAATAATATGGTAACACACATACAGGACAACACACTTACCGGACTACATAATAATATGATAACACACTTACAGGACTACCTAATAATATGATAACATACTTACAGGACTACATAATAATATAACACACAAACAGGACTACATAATAATATGATAACACACTTACATGACTACATAATAATATGATAACACACTTACAGGACTACCTAATAATATGATAACATACTTACAGGACTACATAATAATATGATAACACACTTACATGACTACATAATAATATGATAACACACTTACAGGACTACATAATAATATGATAACACACTTACAGGACAACATAATAATATGATAACACACTTACATGACTACTAGAGGTGTGCGAATCCGATCCGATTGGATTCGGATCGGATTCGGACAGTAAATTACTCGGATCGGATTTCGTTTTGTTTCTGTTGGATCGGATCGGATTTTGCAGGTTTTTTGTCGGATCGGTTCGGATTTGATTTTTCTTGTATCACGTCGAATTATTCGAATATTTTTACAAATTGAGAAAGTTCTATATTCTGCAGCTGTATTCCACTTTTTACGTTACAAATGGCATCAGAATTCACAATGGCTTTGAGCATAAAAGTAATTCCATAATCCATATAGTCCATACAAACTACAAAGTCAAAGTAACGTTTTGGTCGCTCGCGATTCGCGAATAACGAATGCCATTATGCTTGTTTTAAAATGTAAACCTAGCTCAAGCTCATGATTTATTATACTGAATAAAACATTTTTGACTAGTTGGGTTTTTTTTCTATGCTAATTCTAATAAAATATAAACTGCTGTTACTGTGTACTGTAAATGTGAACGCTATAAGGCATAATTATGTGATATCGCCCTGCAATTTTTATCGGATTCGTATCTGCTTATTTTTGCTAGAAATTCATTATTTCCAATATATCGTTTATGATCATGAAAAAATACGTTCATAATAATTAACGCACGCTGTACAGCGTACACAACTTAAGTTTGGATCGGATCGGATTACGAATTTTAGCATCGGATCGGATTTTATAAACATTGTTTCGGATCGGATCGGATTACTTTTTTCATCTTTGGATCGGATTCGGATTGAGAACTTAGACAAACCATCGGATTGAGAGAGGTCAATCCGATCCGACGCACACCTCTAATGACTACATAATAATATGATAACACACTTATAGGACTACCTAATAATATGATAACACACTTATAGAGGACTACATAATAATATGATAACACACTTACAGGACTACCTAATAATATGGTAACACACATACAGGACAACACACTTACCGGACTACATAATAATATGATAACACACTTACAGGACTACCTAATAATATGATAACATACTTACAGGACTACATAATAATATAACACACTTACAGGACTACATAATAATATGATAACACACTTACAGGACTACCTAATAATATGATAACACAATTACAGGACTACCTAATAATATGATAACATACTTACAGGACTACATAATAATATGATAACACACTTACAGGACTACATAATAATATAACACACTTACAGGACTACATAATAATATGATAACACACTTACATGACTACATAATAATATGATAACATACTTACAGGACTACATAATAATATAACACACTTACAGGACTACATAATAATATGATAACACACTTACAGGACTACCTAATAATATGATAACACACTTATAGAGGACTACATAATAATATGATAACACACTTACAGGACTACCTAATAATATGGTAACACACATACAGGACAATACACTTACCGGACTACATAATAATATGATAACACACTTACAGGACTACCTAATAATATGATAACATACTTACAGGACTACATAATAATATAACACACTTACAGGACTACATAATAATATGATAACACACTTACAGGACTACCTAATAATATGATAACACACTTACAGGACTACATAATAATATGAGAACACACTTACAGGGCTACCTAATAATATGATAACACACTTACAGGACTACATAAACATATGATAACACACTTACATGACTAAAAATTAATTAATTAATGCATCTATCACATATCTGTTGTAGTACTGCAGTATCTGTCACATATCTGTTGTAGTACTGCAGCATAACTGCAACAAGGTCTACAATATCTGCAAAATATCTGCATAAAAGTTGTAGATATTTTGCAGATATGTTGATTATCTGTCAACATATCTGCAAAATATCTGCATAAAAGTTGCAGATATTTGCAGTTATGTCAATTCACAATTGTCTGTCAACATATCTGCATAAAAGTTGCAGATATTTGCAGATATGTAAATTGTCTGTCAACATATCTGCAAACTATCTGCATAAAAGTTGCAGATATATGTAGATATGCCAATTATCTGTCAATATACAGTATCTCAACTACACAGCAAAAAAACAATTTCTTATTGAGAAAACAATTCTTACTTCAAGAAAATATTTGTTGAAATGAGAAACTAATTTTCTTATTTAGAAAAACGATTCTTAAAATGAGAAGTATTTTATTTGCAAGACATTTTTTGAAATAAGAAAAATTCTCTTAACATATCTTAAATTACATTTGTTTTCTTGAAATATGAATGTTTTCTTACGATTTCGTCATCTTTATATCAAATCATTTTCTTAAGAAAATTTTTAAAACAAGAAATCAAATTCTTAACATAAGAAATAATGGTTAATAATAAATTATTTGTTACTTATTTTCTGGAAGAACGAAAATAAATTTGTTAAAATTTAAATATAACATCTTTTGCAATTTTTGAATATTTTTTTCCAAAATGATATATTTTTCCTCAATATTCTTTTAACAAGATGTCAAATGTCATCCTGGTTTTAGATTCTATATGGGTTAGTATATTCACTTTAACTGTAATTAGCCTTTTCTCAAAAGAGATCACAGTGCATATACTGGGGTCATTTGTAGGGACAAAATATATGGAGACAGGCATCATATATGTGAAAGAGTAGAAGTATCTACTATCAAATATCAACTTTTTACATGACCACAAATGAAATATCTCCTTTTCACATTAAACTTTAATTTAAACGTGTGCTGCCATATTTCTTGTCCCTCCAACAAGGGATTTGTGCGACTAGACCCAGGACTTTGGGAAATAGCTAATTAAATATACAAATTCTCTTCTATCATATTTATCTTAAGTTTGTTAATTAATTTGTTATTATTAAAAGTAAATTTGGGACAAAAGTATTTTGTTTTATTTATATTAAAATGCTACATTTGCCCCCTTTAGGAAAGGACACCTTGCCCCATCCCCTTTCCATCATCCCTGATACCATATAACTACATTCTAATTTAATTTCTAAAGTTGAGTTCTTTCCATGTTTTATTGAATCATTGTAGAGAATTTATTATCAATAAATTAATTAACAGTCAGTAACTGATTGAAAAGATTTGTAAATATTCCTTATATTCGTAGAGAAACTATATTTAATACATGACGTACTGAACCAACTGGCCTGGTGCCCAGTTTAAGTGTCGGATCGCAAAATGTCATGGGATAGCGTCGTTTCGAATTTTTGTGCTAAAAATTTGAAAGCACATTTACATGTCTTACATGTTTTACATGGTGAAGAAACTTATCGAAATTTCAAACCCAAACGATGGAAAAGGCATGGAAAAGTTTGTAAAATGTTATTCAGATCTCACAGGTAAGAATATAGTTATATTTTGACTTGTTATTTAAGCATTTTAATTGCAAAAGAATGTAGTGAAAATATGATTGTTACTTGAGCCATGTGTCTGAAATTCTGTTAAATATAATTTAGAATTTGCCACGTCAATTTACATCAAAACATACAAACCGTTGGTTTCTAGGCAAGGAAAGAAAGAATAAAATATCAATTCGAATCTATTATAGTAAATTCTGTAGTAAATTGTACACAATGCACTATTAATATCAACAAATTTAGCAATAATTGTCTTTGGCACATAATAATTTGGCACTTTTCTAGACCTTTGTCAAGGGTGTATAACTTAATAATAAAACGATATGAAATAATATATTAAACATACTTGCATGTGCTTTTAACAATATGAAATAATATATTAAACATTTGAATGCTGTTAAAGATATGTTAGCATTTTAATACATGAATTGTAATTACAGAAGAATTACAGCATTGCATGCGATATATCAGTGTATTGATCCTTAACCCATTTGAGCTGCAACTGTGTTGCTTAAGACAATTTTACTTGTCAAGGGGAGAGTCTTGCAAGCTCTTTATTAATGAGCTTCAGTTGTATAAAATAATTTGTTTGTAAAAGCTGGAAGATGTATGAGCGCTGAGACAATGCCTCAAATTCATGTTCTCTTTATATATTTTCAGATTAATATTGGAACTGGATTATAGCCCGGTGTGCTCCAAATATTGTTCTCGAGTCTCAACAAACAGATCTGGATTGAGTTCAACCTCGCAAGCCAGGATAATTTCCGCCCGCCCGCTGCGAAATTACCCTGGCGTCGGCTGGTCACGTGATTCCCAGAATGTGGGATTTTTCATATAAAATCTTTTAGGGTGGGTAGGTAAGTATGTTTGTCACTGGTTTTGCATTCGAGCTATATTCGAGGATAATTTGAGCAAGGAGTGAAGAGAAAATAACGCAGAAAAAATGGAGCAAATAATATACAAGATAGTATTTCTATGTGCATAAGATCCAATTACATATCAAATTACAATAGCATGGCCATGTGCAAAGCTTGCAAGGTCATTTGCTCGGTATGGCTTCGAAGGAAACACCAAAGAAAATTTATAGAGCGTCCGTTTCTGATATTTGCATCGATCCAGCATCTTGTCGACTCTGCCGCTCTGTCGGTGACCTGATCCATCGCAAAGATATTTTCAAGCCATCAAATCGGGCATTGTTGAAGATTGCTGAACAATTGTATGGCCATAATATTGCTCCGGATCCAATTCTACCCCGTAAAGTATGTAGACCATGTGAGCGCAGACTTAAAAACTGTTTGGAGTTTCAGAAGGTCATTTCAGAAACACAAGAGGTATTCCAACAACGTCAGTCGGGTGATGCACGAGTTAAACGATGTGTTGTCTCGCCGTCAATTTCCAGACCGCCAAAATCTCGTTTAAAGCCTTCTGCGAGAACCTCTTTGACCTCGGCTTTTGGTGTCTGCGAAGAAGTGTCATCCAGTTTGAATGCTGATGTAGAGGTAACTGCGCAATTTCATACACATTCTCCTATTAATTGTAGTGGATTTTTTCTATGTTAGTATTACAAGTCGTTATAGTAAAAATTCAATAAAATATCTGCGTGAAATATGCTAAATTTCGATAGATTTATTAATATTCAGTATGCAAATACTTCGGTAATTTGAGGCTCACATTGTGTCATATAAATTTCCATATGTCCATTGTGCAGAAGGTCTACTGTATGTTGCTATTTTTTATTTGTATTGTATGCTTAAACATAGAGACATTGAAAGCTTGGTCACAAGAATGGCCATTTAGATTTGCTTTACTATTTTCTGATCGAAACGTATAAGCTTTTGTTATGGTATAAAATGCAAGAATACCACATGTGATGTGTGGCCATATTTATAAATATACAGCAAACAAAGAGGCCATTCAAAGCGTTTACAAATATGTTTATACACTACCTTAAACCCAAACTCTCTAGCAATAGACCTTGTTCAAAGTACATATGGTATTAAATACTCTTACTGTTGGTATTTTTCAAATGTGCATCTTAACTCATTGAGCCGTATTGCGTCCTTGTGTGACCTACTGTACTTTATTATTTTACTCTGTCTATATTAAATGCCACAAAATTTTACTCGTAAATGAGGAGAGCACTAGGGCTTAATGAGTTAATGTTTTTTTTGCATGCTTTTAATTATATTTGGTACTTCATGTTCAAAAATTCTGGAAGTCACTGAGAAACCATATGTATCAGAATTAATTATAAAAGTCAATAATTATCTACTGTGACTATGTATTAATTGTATGATCATTGATATCATAGAATGTAAATCCTTTACAAGAATTGAATATGCTGAAGGTAGCCGAGACTGAATTAATGAGTGTTGCAAGGAGAGACCCAGAATCAGTCTTGCGCAAAATATCATATGGAGGTTTGTGCCAGGAGAATTGGATGGCTGAGGTTACAAGTGAATTAACCACCAGATGCCCTACTGTTGCCAAAATCTTGTCCTCATTGCTTGATTGTGATTTAACAAATCCTGGAAAGAAGCTTCCACCTATATGTTTGTTATATGGCGTCATTCTGTTTTTGAGATGTCACGAGTTGAGTAGAATTCAGCGGATAAACACTGTTCTTTTAGTCCAAGGCAAAGCAACAACAAATGTATGTTCAGTATAAATTGTTGGTGATAGAATTGTATTAATACTTTAATGATCCTGAAAATTAACCAATGTGTAGTTCCAGAAAATATCCATACCCCATACCTCATGATCAAGGAAAAAATTTAGGACAATAGGTTAAGAAGAATATATCTGGCAATATATGTTAATAAAGCTAAGTGCACCCTACTTTTGGAACTATATATAAATGCCACACAATTTTACTCATCAAGGGAAAATTTTACTCATCAAGGGAAAGTCTTGGATATTAATGGCTCAAATTAACCCATTGAGTTGCATTGCACCCCAATGCGCCCTACTTTATTATTTTACTCTGTCTAACGCCAGACGATTTTACTCTGTCTAACGCCAGACGATTTTACTTGTCAAGGGGAGATCCCTGGCTAATGGGTTAAACCACAATATTGCTTTTTTCTGTTTAATTCCGGAAGATTTATTTTGTCATTAACGTACAAGTTGCAGAGCCTGAAATAATTTTAAAATTTGTCCGGAAAAACGTCCGATCAAAACGAAATTTGACCGGAAATTTGCAAAATTGACCGGAATTTTTTTTAGTTTAGTTTGAACAAACTCTGTCAAGCATGCAGACGTGCACTGAGTAAATCACTCTACTTGCAATAATAAAACACAAATGTTTAATTCTGAATTGCTTATTGGAATAGTTATAGTGAATAATAATTTAATCACGCCCGCCGATGCTGTTTTTATCTTGACCCGACAACACCACGCTGTAAACCACCATCTTGTTTATTGGGCTCGTGAACTATACTTTCCAGTTGATTACTTTATATTAGCCTAATATAGATAATCCAAACTTACAGATGGTACTCACTGTGCTGAGCGCCGACTCGATCATTAAGAAAACATTTTTCTTTTTCTCAAAATTTGGCCGGACAAAATTTCCAATCATTTCAGCATTTGATCGGAAAAATCGGTATTTGGTCGGAAAACCGCCGGCCGTTATTTCAGGCTCTGAAGTTGTGCTATCTACTTGGTTAATTTAATTAATGTAAAAATTAACCCATTGAGTTGCATTGCACCCCAATGTGCCCTACTTTATTATTTTACTCTGTCTAACGCCAGACAATTTTACTTGTCAAGGGGAGAGCGCTGGCGCTTAATGGGTTAACTGAGGGCCCCCTATACTTTTAGCATTAAGGGCTTATTTTACTTAGCCATGAAACATGATTGGGCCCCCTATACGTTTTGCGTGAAAGGCTTATTTTACTTAGCTGTGAAACAGTAAGCAATATACCAAACAATATAATAATATACGTTTCTGTTCTGTACATGTTACAACATACGCATTTTATACATTCTTTTTAACGGTACTAGGGGGTCAACTTTCTGCAACAGGCACTTCTTTAAATGTCATTGTCGATTTTTTGTTGTTTTTGAAGCTTATACTATTGTTTAGCAGCGAAATTTTCTGCTGCACAATAATATTTGAATGCGTATTAAACTTTTGTGCTCAAAAACAACAGATAATTCAATTAAAACAGTGTTTTGAAAACCTAGTTTTTTGCAAAATGTGTTCTCAGAATGCTGCAAATGCCATTTCCGGGATCCAAATTTTAAAATTTTTCTGTGCCTTCGGCAAGAGCCCCCCGATATTTTGTAAAGTGTCCACCACTGGATATACGATTTTCTTAATCTGTGACTCTTGAAAAGGCAAAATATTTTTACGTGAAAGCATATTGTGAAAAGGTATAGGGGGCCATCTTAACCCATTAAGCGTCAGCGCTCTCCCCTTGACGAGTAAAATTGTCTGGCGTTAGACAGAGTAAAATACTAAAGTAGGGTGCATCAGGATGCAATGCAACTCAATGGGTTAACTAGGCACATGGGTAGATAGGCCAGTTAACTGACCTACAGTATCTGCCCATACATGCACGTCTATTTAACCCATTGAGTTGCATTGCGCCCCAATGCACCCTACTTTATTATTTTACTCTGTCTACACCAGATTATTTTACTCTGTCTAACGCCAGACGATTTTACTCGTCAAGGTGAGAGCGCTGGTGCTTAATGGGTTAAACAAGTTATGTTTGACTTACAGTATGAGTTGATTTTTGAAAGTAGAAAACACTATGAGATTTTTAGATACTCAATTGTAACTCAAATGTATTATATATATATATATATATATATATCTTGTTTCAGCTGATTGATCGACTTAACAAATACGGGCTATGCCTAAGTTCTTCCAAAAAATATGTCGTGTATGCTGACATTAGAAAGCACTTTTTGGATCATGCTGTTGAGCTGGTGAAGTCAGGTAAAGAAATAATTTTAAATAAGCGTATTATTTAATCTGATATAATACTTGTGTCATTTGGCCCAACAGCTGCTTCATGCATTGCCATAATTGTTGGGCAAACTGAACCTGCACGCTATACAGTAATACTAGAAATTATGTTGTTTGCCATCTATATTTATTCACATGCTGGTTGGCCAATGCTCATTCTTCCCATTTGGCTTCATGGCTTGTCCCAGTGGCAGTGCTCAATTGGCAGCACATGTAGAGATAGCCATTGAATGAGCTCTCACAGAGAATAAGGATGTAAAAGATTAATAACTAATAATAATAACTAATAATAATAATAATAGTAACAATAACAACAATAACAACAATAACTAACTACTCTAAGTTTAACATTTTATCACATGCAATTATGTTATTAATTAACAAGTATATGTCAGACAGATATCTACAAATAATGTACTTAAATATAATAGTTAAAAATTTTGAGTTGTGAAACTACATAACACAAATCAAAATTTTTAACTATTATATTATAAGTACATTATTTGTAGAGTTTTGCCTGGCATATACTTATTAACCCATTGAGTGGCGATGCACCCCACTTTAGTATTTTACTCTGTCTAACGCCAGACGATTTTACTTGTCAAGGGGAGAGTGCTGGCGCTGAATATGTTAACTGGCCTATCTGCCCATGTGTCTAGTTAACCCATTGATTATAGCGATGCACCCTGATGCACCCTACTTTAGTATTTTACTCTGTCCAACGCCAGACGATTTTACTCTGTCTAACGCCAGACAATTTTACTCGTCAAGGGGAGAGCGCTGGCACTTAATGGGTTAAACATAGAGTAGCACTGTCAACAAATGTACTGTACATAGATATTGGGCAGCCTGAATTTTAAAGTGGTCACCAAATGGGAACAACTATTGGCAGGCCTTAAAATATCTGTCGGTCATGGACATTGTCCGACCCATTCGTGAAATTGTCCGACGTAGAGAGGAAACCACCGGACATTCTGTCCGACCAAAATGAAACTGAGGTTTATTGTTTGTCCGACCCGAGTGTGTTGGTGTCCGACCGAACTGCAACCTCGTGCTTTGTCCGACGTAATGTACCCTAGTCCAGGACTAGAGGTTTGTATGCTAAATGGAAAATCGGAGTACTATTGTACAAAAGGTGAACTGGAAATGTTGTTTTAACGTAGTTGAGCGCGGGGCGGCGAGCGAAATGGTCGAAATCGAAGTCTTTTTTAATACTGCTGTTCTGGCAAGCAAGTTAATTTTGGCGTGGAAATAAGTATGAAAGAAACAAATGATTTAATATCTTTACAACATTTACCGTTATTCATTTGTGTCATTCGGACTTATTTCCGAGTCAAAACTGAACTGAAATTCATCGGACATATGTCCGACCCAAACTCAACATCACCGGACATTATGTCAGACGGCCCTGTAAAAGATATTTTAAGGCCTGTATTGGTAGCTACGTACTTGAGCAATTAAACTTTTATCTCACTTTTAACTGCTGCAGGGATGAAGTTTGTTTATGTTGTTGACAACATCGACTGGGAAGAAAGGGTTCACGATATGAGGGAACATCACCAGAACAAGAGTGTTCATGCAGTGGCAACCAGTATGGTGTTTAGCAGGATCCCGAGTGACCATTTGCCCGATGATGGCCCACAGATGGATGTCAAGACCTGCAACTTTCGAGAGATAGTTCGGGTTACCGATGAAGAGATGCAGAGTATCCGGAATCGGTATCGAATGCTTGTAGCAAGAATTTTGATTGAAAAGTTTCCAAAATTTTTTAATCTGAAATTGTGCATATCTAAAGAACTTACACTAGACCATGAACATTCAGCTGCTACAGCTCGAAAGTCAGAAATCATGACGCTCCCAGTGCTGATGAAGGATGAAAAAAAGTACAGTGACTGTGTTGATGTCTTGGACCAACTGGAAGAATGGACACACGAGGTCTATTATGCAAGTGGTCTTCGTAAAGATCCCCAATCCTCAACTACAAATACCTTAGTTGAAGTTGCCACCAGACCAGATCAACCTAGAGCTCACATCCCACCTGTGTCATCAGACACTGATCCGTTAAGTGGAATTAAAATTCCTTGCTTTGGTGACGAGTTAACCAGAGTTAGATTTGCAGGTGCACGAGATCTTCGCTGTGGGTGTCATACAGCTAAGCAACGTTTGGATCATCTGTATCCATACCGTATTGTTGGATGGCACACTAAGAAAAGTTTTTTAAAGGTAATTTTACCTAACAGTAAACTTAATAAATAAATATAGTTTTTAAGCAAATCATTCAGATGTCATGTACACAATTTCACTAGTCAAAACTAACTTGTAGTCAGAAGTTGTAATTTATTTGCTCTATAGAAATTTCGAGCACAGATAAGACTGATAATATCACATTGGAGAATATTTATGATAATTTCACATGAGAAAATTATCGCTTTTCTCTAAAAATTATTGCTTTTCAAAGACTATCCTTTATGTAATAAACAGAGAAATACTGTATACGGATGCTTGGAAGTACCAGATTTATTTCTGGTGTTGACAGGGCTTGATCGGCTGAAATAACAGCCGATCAATGATCAGCAATCAATTGCTTAGGATCGGTGGAAGAGCAGGGTTTCCAACATTAAACTGGAGGAAATTAAACTCTCATATTTAAATCTTACCTAAAACATGAAACTTTCATCTTTTATAGTCAATCTTCAAAAGGCTTTACAAGAACTCGGGCAGAGAAAGTGGTACGCTGAGGTACTTTCGCGAAGTGCTCAACAGAAGAAACGTAACTGTTGATGTGAAACATTTTGAAGATTGTGAGCAACTTTTTATTAGTGTTGGCCATTGCTACCTGATTGAAGCTCTGCTTGAATTCTTCAACATGGATAAGACTGATGAGTCACCAAAAGAAAACGATCCTTGTCCTTCCAAAGACATAACAGATGATGAAAAGAAAGCCCATATACTTGCAGTGTTGGACAAGTTCCTTGATATATACATATTTCAAACTACAGCACACAGTGACGACGAGGACATGTTGGCTGATGATGGTGACGACATATCAGATGGCATATTCAACTATTCCATAAATCTATTGAAGCCATTTATGGTGCTGCTAGATTGCAAGGATTCTGTGGCATCGGGGAATGGCGAGCATTTGGCATTAGTTCAGAAACAGATGTTGTTATATTTTTCATCTGTTTCTGGATATAATTCATATGCAATTGAAATGCTAATTAGCACCATTCAGAATGCAGTGCTGTTATCCCCTGCTGAAGCACACCAGTGTAAATGGGCTGCACTGGCAAATTGGAAAGGGGGCAGAAACAAAAACATAGAAATCGATCTTCTGCAAGAAAACAGAAATAAAGATATTAAAGGACTTATCCAATTAATGGGATCAAACAAGACTGAGCAAGCAATTGAAAGAGCTAGCAGAGCAGCAGGAGGTGTGCGCAAGATTGTGGATGTGTTTGAAGACCAGGCATCAATTAAAACCAAGTCGTCTGCCCACTCGCACAAGTCATCTACTGAAGACGAAAACAAGATTCTCGCTGATTTGCGAAAGGTGAAGCCCTTTTCACAAACACCTGGAAGATCCCACAAATCATTTGTGGGAATTTCATCTGACCCACTCGAGAATTTGGATGAGGAAAAGTTCTGCGAATGGCTGCAAAGACATCAGAAAAATATTGCAGTACATTTTCCTACACAATCACTGAATGATTCAGGTAGTGATGATGAAGTGAATGATTATTAAATAGAACATTGTGACAGGGTATTTGCTAGCTAATATTGGTCTAGTTGTTTTCATTTACCCATTAATGTGCAAACCTCTTGCCCTCTTCCCTTCAGGAGCAAAATTATCTGGTGGTACACAGTACTAGTAAAAGTAAAACAACAACAAAAACTTACCAATACGACTGAAATCACAAAAAATTAACCAATAGTAAATTAAAATCATCTGATTTTAACAGAGTAAAATATTGTGAAGTATGGCATGTACCAGAGAGTCACAGACTAGGCTAGAGAAATGGGTTTACATTGCATTTTAATGGGCTAATTAAACAGACAAGAGCTTGAGTTCATTCATGCATACCACACAATTGACCATTATTTGTCTAGTGTTTACTACCTGTATTCTAGCAAACAGTATTAACCCATTAAGTACCAGCAATTACCCTTTGACAAGTCCTCTTGATGAGTAAAATTGTCTGGCATGAGTCCATTGTGATTTGAAATGTAAATGTGTTTCAAAATCTTTTCTTATAGAAATTGTTTGTAAATAGACTTGTACTTTGATGACTCATATTGATAACAATGTTGTATTATGTATAGAGTCGTAGACAGTATGGTGAAATGTATATATTTGCACAAAATAGTCTTGAAAAAGATATGTGGAAATTTTAATCAACTGGTGTACTGTAGTATTAAAACATAGAACATAACAAACAGCAACTGTGCTTTATACATATAACTTTTTAATGTTTTTCTTAAGCCTGGTTCACATATACCTGCAGTGTGTCAGCAAGCTATTGTCGTTAGCAAGTTTGATAAAATAATTCACAAAAGAATGTATGCATCAACAGCTGTAAACAATGATAGCACAGGCATATGTGAACCAGGCTTTAGTGTTCCCAGACAGTGTACTATTCAGTGCAAGAGCAGCAGTCACACTCTAACTTTCCAACACCACAACAAAGGTGTTTTGGAGAGACAAGTTCAAAATATTTTTTGTCTGTGTCCAGTAAAGACAACAAAATATGTCTAAGACATTCACCCTCACTTTTGCAAAAATGCCTGACAGCTTCTTGCATCCCAGGTTTGTTTTTTGCTATGTCCCGATTGTTATAGTACAGCACAGCAATCGCAGGTTGCCCATCCCTCCCAGCTCTACCGGTTTCCTGGAAGTATGCTTGGATAGTATATGGTGGGGTGATATGCACAATACATCGTATACCTCGAATATCAATGCCCATTCCAAGGGCCACCGTAGCAAAAACAACTCTAACTATGCTTTGAGGAGAGCACAGCTGTTTTAGGATAGCATCTTTCATTTCTGTGGTCTGGGGTGAGTGGAATTGGGCAAATAATCGGTTTTCTGCTATCGGCATAGATCCTTTAGGGTAATATTGATTTCTTCCCAAAACAGATTCAAAAATATTATATGCATATCCACACCATTTGAGTGGAATGTATACAATTGTCAAAGGATAACATACATTTTCCTGAAGCAAGCCTTGTGCCATAGGGGTAAGAATCCTCATAAGAGAATCTGCATCTGAACCAACTCTAAAGTGTTTCTCGTATGTTATGTTTTTCCGATCAGGATTGCCAACAACTTCACCACACTCTTTTATGTCCAACAATATCTTTATTTCTTCCCTGTCACTTTTGGTAGCTGTCGCAGTCATGGCTATGACAGGTACATTTGAGAATGTAGCACATAACACTGCCAAATTGCTGTAGTCAACTCGGAAATCTTTACCCCTATAAAATGACAATGCAAATATTAAATTATCGAAACTTCTTTGTAATAAAGAATTGTAATCTAGGGTTTTAACCAGCAGGACATCGTATTTATACTGCTAATACATTAACCTTCGTGCACAATGTAACCAGTGAAATCAACCCATACAAAATAATATACAATATCACAAGATATTAACTCACCAATCTAAAATGCAATGAGCTTCATCTACCACAATGGCACAAACGTTTTCTTGGTATGGGTTGGTATGCATCAATTTTCTTCCATAGGTACAGGACACTAAAGACTCTGGATGCGCAAACACAATGTTGTAGTATCCGGTTTCCAATTTCTCTTTGTCGCTCAAGCTAAAATCGCAAATTGACTCGGGTTCACTGTCATCAACAACGTCTTTTCTACTACTCTTTACATTCAACGCAGATGCTCGAATTACACCAGAGCTTAACCGTGATATCTGGTTTTCTATCAGCGCATTTAACGGTGAAACAACAATCACAATAGATGATATTCTTCCACTGAATTTGACCCCGTTCTTCTTGGCAAATAACAAAGCAGGAATCAGGCAAAAAATCAACGATTTACCATATCCAGTCGGCAGTATGGCAAGAATATCCAAATTCAGAAAGATCTTTTCGAGGCAAATTACCTGTTTAGGCTTTAAAATCACCTCACTATACAAACTATTGAGTATAGCAAACTGTAAACAAGAAAGGAAAAACCCGCACTTCGTGTTCGACAACATGGCGTCGTGAACCAATTATATATGCGAAATTCACCCACTCTCCCACGGGAACAGTTTTTAATTGGAGTCACGTGACCAGCCGACGCCAGGGTCTTTCCCAAAGAAAGATCCTGGGTACGAGGTTGGATTGAGTTGACAAACTGGTGTTGTAAGGTAAGAATTAACAAGAATAAATAGTCAGCTTTTAGTGCTTTCTATGAAAAAAATCGCAAACTGGCCCAGCTAAGGTGGCCACCTAGGCCAGACAAATCAGTCTCAACTGATCTTATAAACAGCCCCTACAAAAATTTAGTAACTATAGTAACAACATAATTACACATGAATCCTAAGTTTACCTCCAAATGCAGCCATTTTAAGGCCTGTTAACACTGACACTGTGCTCAATTTTGGTATCCGTAACATGTTTACCATGCTTGGACTACCTATTCATACTGGCCGAGCACAGATTAATTTGGTACAGGTACCAGTTTTATCTGTGCCGTACCAAAAATTGAGCATAGTGTGTAGGGCTTTAGTAGTTTAGTGCTTTAATAATCTAAATTATGCCAGAAGTATAAAGGGTCAGTGTGCAATAGCCAATTTTCTGTCGTGAATGAGTCATTACAGTATGGTATATGTAGAGCTGTCCATATGCCTGCAATAATGCAGGGGGAGGGCTGTGGCTGGACCCATTGACCTGCAATTTGTCCTAATGTGCTCTGACAATTTTACCTATCTTTCCATGCTTCATACCAAGTCCAAAAAAAGAAATGCCTGGGTTTCTATTTCTCGTATGCAAAAAATTTAGGCAGGGTAGGGTTTTTTTTTCTTGTAAATTTTTTATTATAAATGTTCATGCATGAGAATGATATTCTACATCAATAACGCAGCACAGATGACACAAACATTCATTAAATATTACATCAACTTTGATTTTGAAACAAACAGGTTATACTTTCTTCGTAGGTTTCCATGGTGATAAAACATATAATACTTTTGTTTGTGGAAACACCATATGTAGTTACATGGTGTTTCCACAAACAAAAGTATTATATAGCTAGTGCAAAACTAACGCCACAAACTGGGTATGAAAAATTGTTCCGAACTCTTTGCAAACTTCAGATAAAAAGATTACGGTCGATGATTTCTTTGGCCTAACTCATTACTAAGCCCTAATGACTCCTGTAATATACTTTACAAAAATGTATCAAATCAAATGTAACCTTGTAGATCGTTAGTTAAGCCAATATATACTGTACCTGGTAACCCATTAGATGTGGCTACCCTAAGGGCATCCCCTATTTGGCCTAACACTATGTAGATTATTCTTGATGTCTCGATGCCAATTAAATCTAAAACATATTAAATAAATCTGATTTTATCAATTCCTATTTTTTCAGCTTTTGTTCTGGATGATACAGTCTATGGAAAGACAGCTGCTATGTAGTACATGGTACAGGACAAATGCTGTGGGTCTTGAACTAAAAGCAAACCAGCTGAGTGAGACTTGACATTAACAATTAATGACTTTTAGGTACACTCATTATTTATTTCTTGCCATGTATATAAATATAATATTAGGAAATTTTAAATAAGTGTAGGTTATAGTAAGTGTAATTACTCTGCCCCAGGAGCCGGTTGTTCAACGCTGGACTGGCGCTAACCCTGGTTAAAATTTAGCCTGCTGTTTTAGTTTGTGTATTTCTACACTCCTGTTTATTTCAAAACTTCAGAGAAGAATACTCCTATACAAGATCTCTTCTATTTTTGACCTGACAGCTTGTCTATAAATTTAGCTCTCTGTGTATGTGAGTAAATATAAATTTTGGGCATACCTCACTCAATTGATGTAATATTTGAAGGAATTTGAAGATAAAAATCGAGTGGACATTATATACATTATATTGTATATAGTATCCACTCGAATTTTACAATACTATATGGTCCTTCAAACACATGATAGACTTCTCATATAAAGTGATATATAACATGTATGCTGTATATAAACATCAAAAGTAAATGTGAAAAACTATTCGGGGTAACGATCTTAGTTAACAATTTAGAGTAGAAAGACACTAGGACTGTTAAAACATTTACTTTAAGCCTACATTCCGTCATTCTAAAAAATAAATATGCTTAATTCATCGACTATGCAGTATGAAAATGCAAATATAAACATGTATGCATATTTATTTGCATTTTATACACAAATATACGGATGTCACCTGTATGTAAATAAGAAATATGTAATTGCATTTGTTATTTTAGTGTAATTCAATAGATTTGCCTACCTTTTATCGATAATACGACGTTCAAAATAGATTTTTTCCCTCGAACAAATGAGCAATACACAACCAAAACGCATAAAGCACATGTGTTATTGTCACTCGACCCAGTCTTTTTACTCGGAATCAACTAAAAATAGCAATTTAAACAAAGTTCAGCAAAAGGGGTAGTTTTGAAAAATATGGAAAATTATTTATTCGAAATGTAAAATTACCAAAAAAATTGTGGTTATGTATTATACTCTACTTTAATGATTTCTAGTGATAAAAAAATTATTGAACTTACCCCGTGTGCAAAAAAGCCAAAAATTGAAGTGTCCAATAATCCTCGAAATTTGCACAATTTTGCAGTGATTCAGGTAAATTTTTTTTGTTTTGCAAATGCTAGATACATGCTAAACATGATTTAAGCCTGTTGGTTTCAATATTGGGAAAAAAATATTTTAATGTTACATAAAGGAGTTATTTAGGTTACAAAAAGGAGCTGCTCCCTTTTGTAACCCACCATTTTACCTATAAAACGTAAAAATAAAAAAAGTACAGGTCATGAAGAGCTCAAACTCGCCAGGCATATTCATTTAGTGGAAATACATCTTGTGTCCAAAGATGAACTGATTTGAAGTTAACCTACGAATTTTAGCTTGAAAGTAATTTGAAATTTTTTTCTGAAGTTGTTTGAGCTCATGATAGCTTAGTACATGTATTGCAGAACTGTTAAAGATATTTTGTCCTCCTAACTTTTTAACAAGAAACGGTGGAAAGAAGTGGTGCGTACAGCATTAATCCGGCTAGTTGCAACCCCCCGATTGCTCTGGTCGCCGCGCAAAAATATTAAAAATTGACGATTTACACGATGATGTTCCTTTTTGTAACATCCGCCATATATATTCGGAAATGTAAAGAAAATCAGTTACTTCTGTGATGCGCCTCTCAAATACGGATAAACTATGATGTATTATAAACACTTCATGAAAATTTCAAAAATATCTGATAAATTTTGAGCAAATTACGGTGACTAAAAAAAGGAGGTTACAAATGACACGTGAGAATGATCCAAAGGTAGGTAGGTAGGTAGGTAGGAACTTTAAAGTAGCTGTATCTGGCGAGCTGCAGAATGATTGATTCTACTATACAGTAAATTAAAGTGTAAACAGAGGCAAATATATTCTTAATATTTAATACTGTGTTTATTTAATATAAATCACAGGTATTATTGCAAATTTGCTTATGATATCAAGATTAATTTCCTCTACCCAATATTAGTTCAGATATCAATACACATTATTTCTATCTTCACTGTTGTAATTTTACCATTTTAATGCTTCTTGGTGTTAATGAGGTTGTTTTTGTTTAAATTTAATGATTTGTCACAATATAGAGTACTATATTAATCACACAAACAGACAACTTACATGCAAAAATGACATAGGTGTGACTATGTATTGTAAAATAACAATCCATTGCATTGTTATTTTACAATTCATGGTGTGACTGGGGAAAGGATTCCGTCCCAATATATACACAGCCAATTTCGTGCAAGTTCAACTTTTACAGGTTCAATCATGCACTGTAAATCTGTAATGGCAACGTTTGTGTATATTTATTACTACCATAGATCGCATAGCTGGATTCAAGTATGTTGTGTCAGGTTAACATTTGTTAAAGGTCAAGTGCTCTCAGATTTGGTTTTGATTTTTACGCACATACCACAGACGTATAAAGTCACCACAGAAACGGCTAGAACGAAGGAACAATTGCTATGGCCACAAATAAAATGTTACTACTGTATTCATGCCTATGTTCAGCAGTTTACCTAGCATAATGTAGGCTGTACAACTATTAAACTATAAGTATATAATAATAATAATAATGGAAACTTTAATAATTTTGTTATATACTATATATATACAATTGTAAATCTCACTAATTTAAGGTAACTTACAATTGGCTATTTGAATCACAACTATATGAACTAATAAAAATGATAAGACAGAATACATGAAAATATATAAATATACAAGACAATCTGATATTTCAAATAGTTAACAAGTCCGGACTTTCCCATTCCTTATTTCGGCAGCAAAAAATATAGTATGTACTTCGAATGGCAATAGTCATCATTTTCCTAACACAGTACGTTTGGTAGTTTTTGTCCAGACCAACATTTCCTAACATTTCTAAGAATGTAGAACATTCTTGCGCAAAAATACCTAGGGAGCTCATTGAAAGATTTATAAAGTTTACTTCGTTAAATTTTCGTCTAGTTGTTTTACTAGTTCTTTATATTTGGCTTTTTTCCGATTAACGTTGTTCTCGAGGTTTGTCTCATAGCCAACAGTGAGCTCGACCACATAAAGAGAGCCATTTGATAACGATAGCAACAAATCCGGGCGATACGTATCACCAATTATTGACGGACTTTTAAATCCAGGCACTTCAGCGTAGACGGCAGAACCGTTCGCAGTTTGCAAGGTATTGGCAAGGAAGTTCAGGATTGAATTGTGTCTCCACGTAAATCGATCGAGATAACACTGACATCCAGCGACCACGTGCAATAATGATTCTGGGCCAAGACAAAAGGAGCATTCTGAACTTGAAGACAATCCCCATCTGCTAAGGTTCTTGCGTGTCGGAAGAGAGTTATTGATATAGCGTATGGTAAAGTTATAAATGTTTTTCGGAAGTTTTGATTGAGCAGTAGACCACACTTTGCTAAGATGCGACAAGGAGAACTTTGTTACACTAGAGAAAAAGGATCCCTGACAAGTTAATTGATTTTGGAGTTTATCTTCATGTTCAGACCGAAAGTCTTTAAGCACTTCTTTGGTTGAGTTATAAAAGTCGTATTGGATATTAGTATGAGTATTAGTAGATTTCCACAGTTCGTTGATTGATTGATTTGGAGAAAGTTTTAAAGCTTTTCGAAGAACTGTTTGGCATTGGATAAATTTCACCGATGGAGGATAAATACTTTGACCAAATTTGTTGCGAGTTAGAAAAACAGTACTTAGTGTTCCTGAGATTGGAATTTCAAGCCATTTACGGATGTACTGGTTGACTACGGGATCAATATTTTCAATAACCCATGTTTTAGGAAGTGTTGCGATGGTGAAATGCCACGATATTTTGGATAAGACATAACGACTGTATACGAGAAGCTTATTTCTTGGGTGGAGTGGCTTCGAGTCAATATCAGTCATTAGTTCGTTAACGAGAGTGGTTAGTTCAGTCTTATGGTTATTGTTCGACATGTTAAAATCAAAGTAACGTCCTAAATATTGAAATGCTTCTCCAATCTTTACTGTTGGTATCAGATTATTGCTGATGATGAGTTTCGGCAAATATTGGACTGATTTTGTGATGGCTTTCTTGATGCCAAAGGCACTACATTTATCGACTCTGATAATCATATTGGACCATTGGCACCAGATGGAAAAACGATTTAGGAGATGCTGGTTTTCAGATTCTTGGCCAGTGATTACGGCTGCGTCATCAGCGAATTGGAACCAGTGGATAGGATTTAATAGCTTGAAGGAGAAGCCAAACTGACGGTACTTTTCAGCTTTGGTATGTTGGATAAAAGTATTGAAGCACATATTGAAAAGAAGAGGACTGAGGCAATCTCCTTGCAATACGCCACGGCCAACAGATATAAAAGGGGTGCGGAATTCCGAGGTAATTATTGAGGTTTGGAACTCAGTGTATAAACTTTTTATAACGAATTTTATGTGTTCTGGGATGTGGTGGTAGTCGAGTACTGATTGGATGAGATTATGATTGACTTCGCCGAAAGCATTCTTCAGATCAAGTAAGGTGATGACAACAGCACGTTGTCTGATCCGGGCTTTGTTGATAATGTCAGCCATTTGCGCAGTGTGTTCTAGAGTGCCAGATAGGTTAGGGGTGAAGCCCTTTTGTATGCTGTGTTCGATAAAGTTATTGGATGAGAGGAAGGAATATATTGCGTTTCGAAGACAAGATGTAAATACTTTTAATGGTATAGACTCAAGTGTTATGGGACGGAAATTTGACGGATCATCAGTGTTACCTTTCTTATGTATTAATATAGTACAGGCTTTTTTCCACTCATTCGGGACAGTTCCAGACAGCCAAACTTCATGAATTAGTTCACTGAGGTAAGTTCTCAGATAAGGGCATCGCTTAAAACATATTATCGAAAGCTGATCAAGGGGGCAAGGAGAGCCAGACGATTTCATTTTACGTATCACATTAGTAATTTGTTGATAAGTCGGGGGGTCAAGGTTGAATTGAACTTAGGGATCAGATAACTTTGGTATCCAGCTGGGAATGTTAAACAGTCTATTGGGATTAATTTTAGCCAGAGATTTAGAAAAATAAGTAAAGCAATCTGTCACGTTAAATGATGGTAATATTGAGTCCTTCTTATTGATAACGTTTTTAATATAACCCCAAAAGTTCCGTCCGATATAATTGTCATGATTGAATGACTCAATATATAATAATATATATATATATATAATATATAATAATAATAATTAATAATAATAATTATAATAATAATAATAATAATAATTATTATTAATAATAATAATTATATATATTATATAATAATAATAATAATAATAATAATAATAATAACATTTCTATAGCGCATATACATTGCTGTTCTATGCGCTTTACATTGTAAAATTAAGTATACAGTAGTTTACATCTATTATATATGTATAAGCTATAATATTAAAATTCGTCTTATAAGTCCCATATGTCTATATATGTATATCTAAAAAAACTAGTAAAAATATTAAAATAAAATCTCTTATAACTGTAAGTCATATGTCATAAGCTAATTTAAAAAGATGAGTCTTTAATTTGGATTTAAAAGTATTAATGTCAGTTATAGATCTAATATCCACTGGCAGTGTATTCCAAAGTTTTGGGGCAGTTACCGAAAATGCCCGATATCCATAGGTTTTAAGTTTGTATGGTTGTTCTGTAAGACGCCATTTATCTGCTGATGAGCAAAGTATTCTTGTTGGTTCATAACGGCATACAAGTTCTTCTAAATATTTAGGAGCAATGTTATTTACTATTTTGAAACACATTAAATTAATCTTAAAAACTATTCTTTCTTGAACTGGCAACCAATGTAGGTTTCTTAAAGTTGGGCTGATGTGGTCATACTTTCGCAAGCAAGCTATAACCCGTGCTGCTGCATTTTGTACATTTTGCAGTTTATTGAGTTCATACTTAGGTAGACCATACAAAAGTGAATTGCAGAAGTCTAATCTTGAACTGACAAACGAATGAACTAGTACTTCCATTGTGTCCGCACTAATATACTTTCTGATCTTGGCTATGTTCCTTAAGTGATAAAAAGCTCCCTTGACCACTTCATTTATGTGAGGTGACATTGTTAATGTTCTGTCGAACGTTACTCTGATATTTCGTGCTTTTTCACTAGATTTATTTATATATAGTATATAGCTGCACATATTGCGAAGGTGTGGTATAAGTGTGCGTAGTAACAATGGGATCAGTAATGTTTATCTCCCTTGATAGCATTGGTTGCGTAAATACAGTCTCTGTCCCTGGGCGGCACCGCGGCTGTGACACACCAGTCACTGAAAATAGATACACATTATAATTGACATTGACGTAACCGTACAAATACTGTGCAATGACCTAATGTGACTAATTTTTTACTTTTAGATAGACATAAAAGTGCGCGATTTTTTTACAATCATTAAAAAATTGTTGATTTTACGACCATTAACTCCACGATCACTATAGAAACAATCGCCTAGAAGATTACAATGGCATCTCGTAAAAGACAGTACCAACATCGCGTTTGGTTGGAGGAATGCAATAAGGAAATCGACAGTGATTATAAAGAGGTGCATTCTTGATTGGTTCACAATGGTAAAAGAGTAAAATGTCATCCAGTGATGGAATCATCGGATCCATCCCAGTTGAAAATCAATCACTTTCTTTGTAAAAAGTAACATGACAACAAAGGACAATGACCTGCAATATGACCTAACCCGACTTGGAACTGAAAATTGTAAAAATTGTAAAATTAAAAATTGTAAGAATTGTAAAAATTGCTGTATTGATGGTACTATTATTACTATACAGCTTACATATACAGTTGTGCTTTTATTCTCTCTGTGTATAATATCAGTTGTAGATCTACTGTAGCTTCACAAAATGGCTAGCATACATGTATAAACATGGAAATTGCACATGTCAGTCATGTATGCATACGAGTTGTATGATGCTGGTTACAGCTTGCATTACAAACACATACACTGACACAAATGCATAAATGTACAACTTGCACATCTATACACCACACACATACACATACAGCTTATAGTACGTTGTGCACAGTGCAAACTTGCTTTAACAAATTAAGTAATTTGCATATTATGCATGTCTGGCTCTGTGGTATTATGTAAGATGATGATCTATATCCATTTAATCATTCATGACAGAAATATATCACACACCATAGACATACCTACCTTTCGCAGATATTCCACATTGACATACCCCACAAACATATACTGCATTGTACATGGATATGCAATAGACATACAGCATTGTTAAAATAATTTTTAAAAAATATGGGACACAATTGTTTTTCATTTCATTTTCATGACACTTTAAAAGTCAAAAACTTTCACTCATGATTAACCATCAACATTTTGAATACAGTACATTTATAATCGGTTAGTATAATCTGCAGACCAAGTATAAAATGCAGAATAAGTATAAATTGCAGATTTGGTATAAAATATAAAATCATAATATTAGCGCAAAAGTCTAGCAAGCGGGTTTGACACACAGTTAAATTTGAGGATAAATTGTTCTTTTTCAAACTTAAAAGTCATTTACAACATACAGTATTTCTGTTGTGATGGTTTGTTGTTTCTTTTAGTTTGTGTATCTATGTAGCTTATTTTAGTTGAATATTCTTCAGGTGTTTAATATTATTTAGCAGTTCTTGTAACACAAAACTGAGATGTCAACTATACAGGGTATTTCGACTTGGTCGCATAATTTGAAAATGGGTGTACAGTACATGTAATGTGTAATTATGTTTTTTCACAGTCTGCATTTCATACCAAGTCTACAATTTCAGTGTGCAATTTATACCTATTCTGCATTTTATACTTGGTCTGCAGATTATACTGACCACATTTCGGGATATGGCAATATACAAATTAAGGTGGCTCCCTACATTTTTTAATTAAAGATTTTCTGATTTGGATATGATTTTCTGGACAATTATTACTTGTTTAAAAACAAAGATCGAGTATCTGACTGGCATAACTAACTAAATTTTTTCAAAAACTACGCCCAACAGCCATTGCTATGGCAACAATGACATCACAACATGGCAGATATTTTATGTTTAAAGTAATTGAACTAAAAATAACATTGGCTACCCCCACTTTTTATTTCATAAAATAATTTCTATTGGAATTTTGAATTATTATTCTAATTTAAAAAAATTCTGTAATGCCGAAATTTTTCAAGATAGGAAAATGTGAAAGTTCGTAATAATTTTTCTCAAATCATGAAAATAATCCAAAATACTAAAAGAAATCATTTTATGAAATAAAAAATGGGGGTAAATGTATTGGGTTGTAGACAATAATCTCTGCGATTGCCTTTTGGACAATGTTTATTTACATTTCGTTAGAGCATGCGCACGAGAGCTAAGATGGCGTGCGAAGGAAAACAGTGTTTTACCTAAATCTACTATTTTGTAATTTTCCATATATTTTGATAATTAAAGTGAGTTGAAACCTGTTTCGGCCACATTTACTGGCAATCCCAGTACAGTAAAACACTAACGTTCGCTGTGGCATTCCAGAATTGTGAAGAAGCCTAAATACAAAGGAGTTTTGCAGCCCAAAACTTGTGTATTGCTTGAAGACAAATCCAGGAATCAGCCATGAATGTTGAAGATAAAAAACAAGAAAGAAGCAAGGCTAAAATGGCGGTCGCTGTCGCTGCGAGGCGTCTGATCGTAGCCTACAACAGAGATTGTGAATATGATATTTTAAAGGATTCAATGTTCGAACTTGAAAAGGTATTTGATGATTTTTGCGTTATAAATGAGGAATACGAACTCATTGTATCTGACGAAAAATACGCTGAACACCGTGTAGTTAATGGTGAAGATATTAGGACTTACAGAGACAATGTAAAAAGGTGCTATGAAGAAGCTAGGAGTGTATTTTTTAGTGTAAAGACAACAATCGAACAAAAAGCTAGACAACAAAGTGCTGGGCCTGTCAAAGTTGCCCTAAAGAATGACATTTGTAGAATTCATGAACTAATCACAGTCGTTGATGAGAGTTTTAAACTGGATAATGTGAATATGGCAGCTTTACAACTAGATAAGAGTGATCTGCAGTCAATTTTGAACATAATATGTGATGACATGGCAAAACTTGGCTCGATTCAAACACAAGAGGAAGTTAACCTAATCCAAGAAGTCGATGCTATTATCAGAGCAGTTTACAAATGCATCAGAAAGATAAACTTGTTTTTGCATGAGCAACAAGCATTTGTTAAATCACCACACATTGAAACTGCCACTCTCCCCTCCGAAACCAACACCCCCCTGAGACCATTAACACTGTGTCCCCCCGGAGATCAACACCAACATCCCCCCTGAGGACATTGAGACCGTCAACACCATGTCTCCCCCCGGAAATCAACACCAGCACCCCCCTGAGAACACTGAGACCATCAACACCATG